GGTGGTGTTATAATGATGCATTGCTGCCGCAGATGTTGTTGGACCGAATTCTGGAGACATATGTTCACTGCCATAACTCTCTGTGGACGAGTCGCCATCATCCTCTCCGTCTTCTGCCATTGGCGATTTTTGTAAGTTTTGTATAAGGCATAGAACCGCTTTTTCCAGTTGTTGGGGATTCTTCGAGGCTGGCTCATCCACGGAGGATTGTGGAATTTTCGTATTTACAATCATAGAAAATTTATTTTTCATCTCTTGAATTCGTTGTTTGCCCTCCTCTTCGCTGAGCAGTGTATTTATGCAAATGAAAGAATGCACCTTTTTTGTTTCTTTGTGGACTTCCAGGTAGCCTTTTGAGCGCAGATAAATAAAGTGACCGTTGCGGGTTATAAGTCTGTAGGTGGACTCTCCAGATGAACTATAGCAATCGTACACTGCAAATACGCACCCACACAGAAGAATATGTTTGAATGAATTGGCATATGCTTTTTAAAAAACAATACACACATGTGTACAGTAACTCACATAATTGATAACACGGTGATTTTATACAATAATTACCATGTTTCTCATAATAAATTGGTTTCGATATCTCTTCGTAAAAACTATTTTAAACCATAAAAATCAAAATTTCCAACTTTGTATAAAATTTAGGCAAATAAAAAAAATTTCATCTAAATTTCCATTTTTGCAAGTTTGAAGAATCTTGGTAACTCCATTGATTTTTTGTGTTTTTTTTTTTAATTTTAGTCCCTTTAACTTCTTTATATAATGCATAGGTTTGATAAGAATTCTTGTTGATCTAATAAATTCGTTTCCAAAGACTGGAATCTTAATGTACTTTGCTGTTTGTGTCACTTACCGCGATATAAACATTCTTAGCATTGCGTATAAGGTTATATCGATGATAATTTGTGGAATAACTGTGTGGCTTCAGATCTGAGTAATTGGGAGACACCTACTTTTCGTCAATTTTAAAGCCGCTTTTGATAGCGCGAAGAAAAGTTGCCTGCCTCATATACCCGTAGTTGTGTATGTAACGCATACGCCCTGTAGCACCATACGCAGTCTCTAACACAGTGCTGTCCAACCGGTACTTCGCGACCTGTATTTTAGGCGCCCCAAACACAAATATGGGCAGAACAATACTCTGTATCGAACTACCGGAAATAGCCGGTTGTAAATACGAAAGTGTAACTTGAAAATGAATGCTTCAGCGTGAGATTTGCTCTTATGCGTGATATGAAAAAAAAATTTCAGAACCAAAATTTAATAAAAAAAATCACCGTTAAGTCCTAGCTACTTCAAACTTACACTTTATTATATGTACTACAATCAACTGCATATATAAAACTGCACACCGAAAAGAGGCCGAAACATTATGGTAAAAAAGTTGGAAATTTAGATGACATTTTTTTGAATTTGCCTAAATTGGTATAAAAAAGATTTTTATAAAAAAATAACGAAAACAATTTATTATGGAAAAATATTAGGCCCTATTATGGTTGTCGCCTACGCTGACCACAGTATTTTTGCGAGGAGCACCTTTCCATAGAGCCCTTTGTAAAAAATTGCCAAGTGATCAATTATGTGAGTTACTGTAAGTATAGCTCGTATTTGGGTATGCGATGTACTTACTTTGGCGCAGAGCTACAATAACCCATCGCACATCATCCTGGTGCATAAAGGTGAACGGACTCAAGCCTCGTACTTCGTCTGTCATGTAACCGGCTACAAGTCCAATTCTTTGGTCGCAGTCAATAATACTGCCATCAATTAAGTGTCTTGTTTTGTACTCCATTGAGTTGGCTGCCGTGACGCAGTTTATTACTTTGGGTAGACGAATTATACGCGCCGTTGCAATTAACACCTAAAGGAAAATTACGGCAGGTTTATTTCATATATCTAAGGGTAACAGCGATGTTCACCATTATATTTACAAATTTAGTTATGTAGTATAAAGAAGTTACATACATATATCTACATATGTACATACAGTAAATATGTAGAAACTATGTAAATATGAGTTAATTTTTGAAAATGTGATGACACAGTGTAAAAGCCATTTTAGGGACGTAATGATCCCAACTGGGATGGAAAGTATTAGGCCCGTACAGTATAGCCAAAAAATATTTTTCCACTTATTTCTATCATTATAAAACTTTTCATACACAAAACTGAAAGAAAAAATTAGCTGGGAGTGGCTAAAGAGTTAAAATACGGGGATTACGAATGAACTGAGTTGATACGTTTTCTATTTATAATCAAAAAATACCTGATCCTGTAACTGTTTTCACGAAATTGGGCAATATTTTGTTGCAATCCGTTGTAAACCCCACAAAAGATTTCCTTCCCTACATTATTAACATAATTATTTGTCTTTTCTGACTATAAGGAATTTCGAGTTAACAACCTTTTTTAGAACGTCAAGGTTTCCGACGTTAGATTGTCGATTTCTTCGCGAATGTTGTTATTGAGGGTCTTCGGCTTGTTCACGTAGACCAGCGCCATTAAGAAACCTCACATAATGTACAATAACAGATTGCCTGTGGAGATGTGCGGTTAAGCAGCATTTAAATAAGGCGATTTTCTAAGCGATTTAACATCGATTTCAACAAAATCGCCTGTGTAGATTGTGTTTAATTTTTCTAAAAACCGATATAGTCGCTTACAACTTTTCAGGCGATGTTGAATTGCTTAGGAAATCACCTCGTGTAAATACTGCGCTCAGATATGATCACTACCAGCGATCAATAACACAAATTCTTATGACAGTATCAATCGCTGCATCATCATAAACCCCGCCATATGAATTTGTATAGTTGATCGGTTGTAGCGATTTTAATAGCATCGCGCGACGCGAATCCGCTAGGTCATGTACCTAGCCTTAAATTTTTTACTATGCGACTAGCACTTTCATGCCTATTTGATATACTTTCGCCTCAAACAATAAAAATAATAAAATATTAATTTAGGGGGTTTTCTTAACTGAGATACCATATGTATGTATTAACTTACAATATCATTTCCACTTATTGAGTGCAACGGTATCGTATCATCGCGAGCACGGGAACGTCGTATCATTGGTAGATTGGAGGGAAATGTGCTGGCTTTAACGCCTCGCGGCGCCGCATCACTGCGTCTGAAATTTCCTTCTATCTTGACAATTTCATATGTTGTAGGTTCTGAACGGGGACCGGCCCGGGCCAATCTGTAAACGACGTACTACCATTTTAAATACACGTGTGTAAGTGGATATTTTCATTATCAATTAACCTAAGAGTGAAACTTCGCTTGTCCGCACGCAAACGTTTATCGATGTACTCCTCCTCCTCTTTGGTGCGAGGTCGTGCATCACCAGACTCATCATCGGCCGGTGTATCAAAAAGCTCATTGGCATTGGAAGGTATTAATTGTTGTTTCATTATGCTGTGATCTTCAGGATGGGTAATATTTAAAATATTTTGCCCGTATAAATCAGTCTGGAAAATAATAAGAAAACGTCTACATAAGTATGTGTGAGCATACAAATTTAAATAATAAATTTTAATATTTATTTACTAGTAAATTAGAAAAAGACCAAAAACAATTTTTAACGAAAACGATTTTTTGTTGCTTAAATCGATTCCTAATGCTGACTAATGGGCAACCGTTGAAGCCACGTGTTTAGGCAATCTGTTTCTCTTGTTCAATATACACGAGGCAACCATTGCGGCAACCTCAGTAGCGAGTGCTCTGTTATGAAATGGACATACGGAAGAAAATTTTGTTTTCTACCAAAACACGCTTTCAGCCCAACTGTTTTCAATGAACTAAGCCAATAAACTCAATACACAACGATACACAAGAGGGAACCGACACGGCAACCAACACAAAATATCAAAATATTTTGATTTTCGGGCGACGGTCGCGGCAACACGAGTTTCTATGAGGACACGAGCCAACAGTCGAAGCAACATGCCCTGGTTAACCGTTGCCTCGTGTGTAGTCATCATAAGATATTTAGAAATATGAACACCCGCCCGACGAGAATAGACACATTTTTTTTCTTCAAGAATCAAGCGTATACATTTTCTTTTAGCCAACGTAGAAGCCACGTTTTAGTCTCTTTTTGAAGAAGTCGTGGTTTTCGAAAACAATTTAGTCCGGCAAAGGCTTCAGCTCTAATCTTTGCTACAAAGTAACTTTTTGTGAATTTCCTGACCTCTATTGCCTTTTTAACGAATTTTCAGTGACGGAGTTGTGTGTGGCGGCCGCTTAGACTGATTGGTTAGAGGTGCGTACCATCACTCCGTAGGACCTGGGTTCGCCCCTCGGCAGGCATTGGCCATGAAACCTGCCATAAAACAGCTTCACATAAAATCCATTTGCCGTTCGGAAGCGATGAAAAACTGCAGATCCCTTCATTTGTGTAACAACATCAAGACGAACCTCACAATTGGCTCAGCCAAACGCCTAGAAAAAGTGTAATCGCCAAAATATTAAATTATAAACACGGACTGGAATGGTCGGCCGCAGTAAAGGAAACGTGATGATCAGATTTGGTATGTTATTTGTTGTTGGCCGGAGACTCCGACATCTTGTCCCCTATCAGTGAGCGTATTGTCACAAATCGCAACGAAAAGTAGTTGAACAATATCAGCTCAAGTCCCCGAAAACTAGTACGGCGATGTAGAGTGACATTGAATGCAGCTCTTAGCTACGTCCAGATTGAGAAGGAACTCTCCGCGCAATTCGAGACCAAAATAAGATAACGTATGACCTCCTGAAAGCAAACTATTTGGCAGTTATATTTTGAAATTGTGAAGAGCTCTGTCTATCTAGGATCCAGCATTAATACCACCTTTAACGTCAGCCAGTCAAGTGAACTCCTGCAAACTGGGTAGGCTTTTGAAAAGTAGAGCTCCCTTTCGACGAACAAAAAGCAAGCTTTAAAAATCTATCAAAATACCCAAAATTGTATATGGAAGATATCGAAAAAAGATTAGAAGATTTTGGGAGCTTTCGAGAGAACTTTTCTATGCAATATCTATGGCCACGTTCACCTGGACGACGGGTAGCGACGGACCAAGAGCCATATAAGAAGAAGATGGACAGAAAATGGATTTGTATAAGTATGTATTTAGTTGTTGTTTCAAAATGACAGAGTTTCTTGTTTCTGCCATAAATTTAAAAATTTTCTATTCGGCTCCTTTAAATTGATGACGACTCTATAAAATCTTTTGGAAAAAATGCTATCTATTAAATCTCATACGTGTATCGAAGCTACATATCGTTCCCTTAATATAGAAAGGCCCTAACTCATTTTATTTTGAAGTTAAGCTCTGTACAACAGTTGGTAGATTCCTCACAAATGACTTAATCGAATTTAAAATCAATTACTACATCAAAGAATTAGTTTCTGTATTTATTAAAAAACCAGTGTAATGAAAAAAGTCCAAACAGAAGATCTGCAGTTTTTATAAAGTTTAATATCTACTCTTTAAAGAAACAAAAATGTTAGATAGGACCTTTCTACATTAAGGTAAACGATATGTTACATATGTTTGCTTTGTTTTACACCAATAACAGTGCATTTAGACAGATACAATCGGAGTTTTCTTTTTTAGTTTCATGATAAAGATATTTAAAAGTTCTTTTTACCTGACAATGCCCCAAATGTTGTTCAACGCTTGATGAGATTAGAACGATTTGGCCATGGCATGTTATCGCCAGGAAAAACCTATCCAGCATTTTCATTAATGATTCCGTGTATTGCGGGCGAGTCTGATTTAGGCTTTCTCCAAATACTGTATATTGTAAACAAAAATATGAGTTTTAGTTAAATATTTAAAAGTACCTTATATTGTAGTTTGTTGTCTAAAACATTTATGCAAAGCTTACTGTACTGCAATCGCAAACCATGGGCGGCAAACCGTAATACCGCTGTTTTATCCACGCGCCTGGGAGATTCTGCTACATGTGGCACCATTGTAGATAACTCTTGAATAGATCCATTCAGCTTATCACGTCTGTTTTTCTCTGCTCGGTTTCTTGCTTCGCGACCACTGCAAAATTAACAAAAACGATGCGAATTAATTAAGTAAATTAAAGCAAGTAAATCAAGAATCATCAAATATGGTTTGTTTGAAAAAAAAAAATAAATGTTAACCATTTGAGATTCACTTTTATAGAAAATTCATCTCGCTATGTTTTTCACTTAACTCCATACATACATACTTATTTATGTGCATTATAGGCATATGACTTTTTAACTTATATCCTATGAGTAGAGATGAGGAGTGATGAAAACCCAACAAAACTAATATTTTTGACAAAATTTGGCTAAAAACTGCAAATGTGATGCAGTTCAACAGAGCTCCTTTAAACGAACCGAACTGCATCAAAAATTTTATATCGAAAAAAAGGTGACTTGTTCTCTTTGGTAATTAACCGATTTATGTGAGCTAAAGTTCTTGACACAACTTTTGTTATGCCTAATGTACATACAAATACATACATAATCATTATTATATTAATCAGATGAATACAAATATAGAACAGGGTGAAAAAACGTAACGTTCAGAATTCGTGCTATATTTACTAGCCCCTTTATTCCCATGTGATGACAAATCTTGTTAAAATTGCTCTGTCATAACCGCATTGCCTAAAGTAGTACCTAACCCGCAAAAATTAGCTAATGAGAATAGTAATTTCGGCAAATTTTGCCATTTCGTCGGAATAGGACCGCAGATCTTGTAGTAGTATAGTATGTAAATCTGAATTTCTAGTTTTTCAGGATTCTAGAATTCAATTCCTGAGTCACTAAAGGCTGGACTAGACATATTGAACTACATGACCCAACTGTACAAATATTTTAAAACTGTCTGATTATAGACTATCAAGGCATTACACTTTCATCTTCCTTGATATATTTATTCGTTCACATTTAATTTCATACAATCTTTCATATTAAATTTAATGTCATTTTGAAAATGTATCTAATTTGAAGTATACCTCCAAAAGACTAAACATAGTCTTACTTTGTACTACATGAATGAATAAAATACCAGTTTGGCCGAGCTTTGATCGAAGCGCATATACATACTTTGCAAAGCTTTCAAGGTTTGGGTATCATATACGGGTTATCTGGATAGCTGTAAAGTTAATATTTTGCAAACAAATTAAAAAAGATTTGGATTTTGATATTTTATAAAATAAGTAAATTTTTTACTTTAAAAATTATGAGTCAACCTACGCTGGAGATACGCTGGGATGAAGAGTACATATGTATCTTGAGCGTACGTTCAAAAAAAGCTCATTCAAATTAACAAAATACAACTTTGTATTAAAAAAAACTCTGGCAAGACTCGTCGAAAATATTTTCGGACTGAAGTTCTCAGAAATACTTTTCATTTGACATCCATATTGCGTAGTTTTAGTTAAATTTTGTAGAGTCGAAAATAAGTGGCAACGTTACATTAATATTCTGAGGGATAATATATAGGCAAAGCATTGTTTATAATAATATTACATACAAGTATTTGAGGTTTAATGGAATATCGAATAACTGTCGCACAGGTTGTTTTTTTTTTATGAGAGGGTCCTTTATAGGTTTTGCGAAAAAATGATTTTGTTGTTATTTATTTGTATGTATTTTCTTTTTAATAAGTTTTAAAATTTTAATCTTTTTTTGCATTTGTCAGCAGTGTAAATTTTGGGAGATATGTAAGTACATGCGACACACAAGTCTTTTGCAGGTGATTTTTTTCTTAAAGCCTGATTATGGCAACTTAACTTAACTTAACGGAACGTAGTACTTAGAAAATCAAAATGAAACAGATTCGACGTGGCATTACGTTACGTTAAGTTTCGGCCGTTCAATTATAAGAAATATCCATTTAAGAGAATGGCTTAGTGAGAGCCTGTAAGTTACGTTAAGTTGCCATAATCAGCCCATTAGACTTTGTATATAAAAGACCAAAAAAAGAAAAACTGTATAGGGTTGGTCGAATAAATGGCCCTCCTAGTCACCAGTTCCGAGTCTATTCGATTGCTGAGTATGAGGCCTTCTGTTGAACAAAAGGGAAGTATGAAGGACTTAAAATGGTGGAGGAAATCAGCCTATGGTTACAGAAGATATGAAATAAACTAACCAACGAAGACTTGCGTGCCGCTTGCGCTTTTCTCTCAAAATGTTTACCGCCGGTAAACCCAGGTAAAGGTTACAATTTAAAAACTGATTAATAAAATTTAAGTGACATCTATATTATTATTTAGTATTTTTCAAAAAAGCCTATGCGACAGATATTCGGAGCCACCCTGTACATACGCATGTCTCTCTCATATTAAATATGCTATAATTTTAACTACTTTGACTGTTCCATTGCATTTATTTGTTCGCTTATGAAGCGGCCGCTGTGGTGTAGTGGTAAACCGTTCGCGCTTCCATTCCGCAGCGCCTGGGTTCAGGCCCTGTTCAAAGCAACATCGCAAAAAGGTTTTTTCTTAACAAACTTCGTGTGACAACATCAAGGCGCATGGCACAAATCGAAGGAGAAGCTCGGCCAAACACTATCATATTTATGTGTAAGCGCCAATCTATTTTTATTATTATTATTATGAAGGTGGTGCCAAACTTAAACATAACCTTGCATGTTTTTTTTTTTTTGCAATTGGCGCATGCGCTCATCTGCTGATCTTTAAGTAGCCATTTAATGTGACTTGCAACTTTGAAATTAAATAATAAGCTCATTACTGCACATAATGCTGCTTGGTTCTTGCCCCACAATAACTAGACAAAGTGAGTCGTGCTGTAAACAAACGCATCTCCGTGGATATACTTTCCTGAATGGGTTCTATAAAAAGAACTACATAACTATGTGTAATTATCATTGCGAGTAGAGAGTAATTGATTCGACATTACTCGTGCCAGTGTTCGTTGAAAACCATAGGGGTCCCTTATATTTTTGCATAGAAAATACATATGTATATACCAGAGAACAGCACGAGTGCCTATTTTTCTGACTCTAAATACATTCACTCTAAAAGCGTTTGCGTATGAAAACAAAGACTGGAGTGGGATATTTTCTCGTACCATTTTTACGCTCACTGCTTTTGAGCGGTGGAAATATGCTAACAGCAAAAAGAGCAGAGTGTCACTGTGATCACAAGTAGTTAGCACCAAGTAAGTATAAACTGAATATAGTAAATACTGGAAAATATATGATGCGGTGTTTATGATACTCACTGGCTGGAATGAGGACACTTTATGCTCCAGGGTGCAGTCTTCTCTAAGCGTAACTGTCAATAAGCCAATTAAATCCATCAACTTCCGTTTTTCCAAAAGAATGAAGGTCAACTTAACCAAACCCAGATTGGTTGAGACAGTGATTGAATTTGCACAAGAGGCGAAATATCTAGGTTGATGTCAGACAAGAGACTCAACTCAAACTGACATTTCACAACGGTTAACAATAAAGCCACGAGATTATTTTATGCTTGCCAAAGCCTCCATGGTAAATGAATGGGTTATCCCCAAACCTAATGTACTGATAATTCAATACGGTGATAAAATCGATTTTCACTTATGCGGCACTAAGACTCTAAAGTGTAATAATATCCAAAAGGAATACCTGCAAGATGATAAACGCCATGTTCAGCGAGGGATCTCAGGTTTGGTACTTGAGGACCCAATTGAAGTCTGTGTCCACGAATGTCTTCGCAGAAGGACTAATAGGGTAACAATAAACGTCTTGTCGGATAGCCAGGCAGCGTTACGAGCTCTTGACTCTTGCAAAACGGTGACAAACTACAAAAACTAGGAACCAAAAACAGAGTTACCTTGTGGTAACGAACAGTGCCTGATCAGCCCTTTCCCTTGCTGTGGTCGGTCCACAGAATACACGGCAGAGTTTCTAAGGAGATGGGAGCACTCGCAAATTGCAAGTCAATGGCGCACGACAAAGGGCAAAAGGCAATCCAAAAGATTCATAACTCCCTCTCGTGGAATCTCTGAGTGACTGGTAAATCTTAACAGAGAGGGCTTAAGAACTCTCACTGGGTACCTGATAGGACCCTGCTGGCTGGCTGAAGTACCATCTACTCAAAATGGGACTCTCTGATGAGACGAACTGCAGATTCTGTGAGTTGGAAGAAGAAACCTCGGAACATTATCATGTGATTGTCTGCTTATAACTCGCCTTCGATTTATACACCTTGGAGAAAAATTATCATCTCCATCCAGAATCATCAATAGCCTAAGGTAGGAGTGACCATTTCAGGGTTATAGGCTACAGCGCTTTATCCCCTTATGCCCCATTATTATTATTATTATTATTATTATTATTATTGTTATAATAGTCGAGTATGAAAAGAGTAACAATGCGATGTTGCGGTGTACTCGTGCCGTTCTCTGGTATACACATATACATACATAGATACATATGTGATGCGGTTCATTAGCGTCCTGCTGAGTTAAGATGCTAAATGCGTAGGTTGTCGGCGTTGAAGCTCGTGCAAGTACATCCGCGGAATTATTCCATTCCTTACTTAACGCATTCACATACAAAGTATAGCGCCAGCACGTGATACAAATGCGACAGCGACCACGAATACCTCAAAATATTGAAAAGTATGCGAAGTATTCGAAATTTTCAAAGGGAGACCCTATGGAATATCTATGTACATACATATGTATATAGTATACGATTTTTGTGCGTATGCAAAATAGGTTTTATCATTCGTCCACTGCTTAAGGAAAATGCTTGATAAATATTATGCACCGTTTTCTGGCGGCCAAAAACATTACAAAAATGGATGTTCTATGTGAAAACATATTTCGGGATCAATGGCTTACAAAAGCAGATAACTGGCGAGAGTCTTAACAAAAGAAAGGCGATTGCTGTATTCGGCAAACATTTTTTTTTTGTTGAAATTGCCTCGCAAAAATACTTTAGACCAGAGTGTATGGCGAACTATTTTGGCTTGCTTGTAAGGTTCTCCGATCTAGTGTACATATGTACACAGATATCGTTATCTTTAGTCAGCAACAAATTTTCCATTTTATAAGAGAAGTAAAAAATAATTTAAAAATAAAATCAAGAACAGATAGAGCTTTTTAAAATGTGGTTTTTGGTACTAACACAGAAAAAATTTTTAGTGAAGGTGATAGCACTCACCTGTTGGAAAGCTGCAGCATATCCAGCATTGGGTCGTGAGAATAGCTACCGTAATTAGGGTACCGATGGCCACCACCGTAAGTTCGATAGCAGCTACTCGCTGAGCCGTATGGTGCATTTGGGTACCACATATTTGGATGGTAACCGGATGGGTGCGGGTATTCACTATATGGCGATTGTTGTGCTTGTGGGTGTGGATGGGGCCGGGCAAAGTTGTTATTGCTCATTCCATAATGCGTCGGCGTCAAGGGCTGTCCATAGGAAGCGGAAGGCGGATGCATAGGACGTACATGTGGTGGAGGGAGCGGTGAATTGTAATTGCATTGTAACGTGGACGGTGATTCAAACATCATTTCGCTGGGTGAATATTTTATATCTTGCTCAATGTTGTTGTTGTTGTTGTACGCATGCGAAGCTGGCATTCGATTGGAATTCGTAAGAGCTTCAATGGTAATTGTGGATGCTACATCAGCATCACTCAGTGAATCGGTTAATTGGAAAAAGTCGGTGCTCCTCAATTCAGATTGAAATGTGTTCGTAAGAGGTGCTGGTCTATTGGGTTGACATGCTTTATCATCTATCACATCCGATGCAGTGCTCATAATCGATGTTGGTATATTTGAATCAGTCAAGGTACTCGCGGAAAATTCAGCTGCATCTAAGGCGGATATATTATCATCCATGAAACCATCGTCATTTTCCCAGATCCGACACTGGAAGCTATTGCTGGGATTATCTTCCTCTTTATCTATAGATTCAAAAGCGGGGTGGTTCTGCGATTTAAAGCTGTTTGGTGACGTAAGTGCCACATCTTCAAGATTATACGGAATGTTTAACTTAAAATCCTCTTCTTCCGAAGTAGCAGGATCACTGCGTGTCTCAGAAGTGCTCATTATGACGGACAACACTAGAGCCGTATACGGAATAGGTATTCATTCATATGTTTTCAATCCACATTAAACGGATGCAACATTCTGTTCCTCTCGAACCAATAACCTGTGGGAATAACGAAAAAAAAATTGCATTAATGATTATGGTTGGTAGTAATTTATATTCATATGTACATTAGGGTGATTCCCCACAAATAGTTGCGGGTTTTCCACCGGAATTATAAAACTTATTATAATTTAAGTTAGACCNACTGTTCCTCTCGAACCAATAACCTGTGGAAATAACGCAAAAAAAAATTGCATTAATGATTATGGTTGGTAGTAATTTATATTCATATGTACATTAGGGTGATTCCCCACAAATAGTTGCGGGTTTTCCACCGGAATTATAAAACTTATTATAATTTAAGTTAGACCTATTTACAAATCCCTAAAAAAAAGTGGCGTTATGTCTTTTAATTCCGTAGAAAAAAAATTTTAAAATAACTCACAATAATTTTTATTTTAATGCGGATTCATCATTTTAGTTCAGAACTTTTCTTCCATGTGGTTTTTGTTGTCAATAATCCTCACACAGAGTAAACTTGCATTCATTTAAGAAGGTTTAGTTTTTCGCCAATAAAGACAGGTCCTACTACTACGAAAGCGGAATTATGAAGCTCAGCGAAAAGTAATAATAAATAAATTTCTTTGAAAACCACATAAGGAAATACGCAATGACTTTTCACATAACCCAATACATTTTCCGGGGGATATTTCCGGGTTCCGGGATATTTCCGGGTCACCAAATTCACCAGGGAGTGACCAAAACCGAATCTTTGCATCCGGTTCAAGCAGCTCACGACTTTCGGTGTTAACACTAAACATCCTCTGGGTAGCAACCGAACACGCATTTGGAAGCGAGCTAATGTGAGAAGGCAAACCGCCAGTAATGGGTTGTGCGTTGGGCTTGGGTTCCGCCACGAAAAAAAAAAACGCCAAAGAATAGTTCAAACTTGCCTCGGTTGAGACTTATTCGCGCAACTACAAATGAGTACGAATTTTGTCAGGCTGGTTGATGTCTTCGGAAAAGACTAAGGCTGACATCACCGTCATTCAATAAATCCGCTAGAAGGGCAAGGGGGATAAAACATAGGGCTTTGATAGGCACCAGTATTTTAGATGTACACAGTGGCGGATTTATCGTACAGGCAACATAGGCTGAAGCCTAGGGCGGCAGAATTAAGGGGCGGCAAAATTTAAGACAGCTAAATTAAAAGAAAAAAATTTATTTGGATTCAGCTGCACTTGAAATTGTGTTTGTGTCTGTAAAATATTATTAATGATTCATCTCATTCAATACAATTCAAAATTAGAATTACGCTGCGAATTTTTCCTTAGTATAGCAGTCGTTGAAATTTCCATTTAACTTTCATTCACGCGGCTTAGAAACCTGACGGCGCGCCTGCGCGTGACGCAAAGAAACAGCCGACACGCTGCCCCGAGAACGAGAATCATCTAAAAGGTTACCACACTTGACAACACTGCCGAAAAACGAGCGTGCATTTTCGAGAAAATTCTTGATTCCAAGC